ATGAAGAGCAGACGATGACCCTGATGAAGAGCAGACGATGACCCTGATGAAGAGCAGACGATGATCCTGATGAAGAGCAGGGAGGGTGCTCCAGAAAGAAGCCTCAAGAAACTTCGAGTTCCTCATCCCAGGTTGTGAAACTTGGAGTCGTTGGTTCCAGGAAGGCTTGAGATTAAATCACACTCTTAACTTTGAGTTAAGAGTGTGATTACGTGCAGCCATGCTCATTTTACACTTTGTAAAAATATGTTTTCTTAAAGTTATGCCTGGAAAAATAGATTGTAAAACCTATAACCTGATCTCATAATAAATCATTTTGATCTCAAAACTTGTAAAAAAAAAAAAAAAGAACTGATGTTTGTCAATGAGAGGTTCAACATAATACTTTATGAGTTTGTGAAGAGTACCACATTGTTTTCCCCCAGCACACATGCCCAATATAAAACCTCTCAAGTTGTTCTCATCAGAACCATTCTCTTCACTCTCCTCATGGCTGATCTTGTTTCACACCTGTAGGATTTTTAGAAATGAATAACTAAGCACTAATAAGCACAAATTGTCACTGAAGATTATTCACCGTTGGACGTTTACAGGCAGTACCTCTTAAAGATTCATAAAAACACAGGATTCTGTACTTGGTGGGTTGATTACACGGGAGACATGTTGGGGAACACACGTCAAAGGTGTAAACTGGACATGCAGCCAGAGGATGCAGCTGAAATAAATTAGACACTTCATTAAAGAGTAAAAGTGTTCAAACGAACAAACTCGAGGTTTCTTGTGGTCAGCCTGCCACAGAGCAGGTTTGGTTCCCAGACTCTGTTACAATGGATATTTGAGGTGTTTTAAATATAGTTTTTTCCACAAACTTCATAAACTGCCTTTGGATTTTTCTATTGGAAACTTTCTTTTTGTTTGTCTTCCATCACAGAGCCAAGAGAGAGAATTTGAAATACCATCCATCCATGCACGTTATGAACATGATAATTTGAAATCTAAGTGAGGTATCACGTCAGACTGAAGAAGTCTTTTGGATGAAAGACGAAACGTTTCTACAATTATTTTTTGAACTCGTCCAGAGGACCTGACTTAACTTTTTTTTTAGATTTTTCTACCTGGATTATTGAGCATGCATCAGTATAAGTGAGGTGTCAACTTCCATATTTGTGTGTGGCTGCATGTAGGTGTAGAAAAGGTCACGATTGAAAACTGGGTTGTCATGTCAAAATATAAAATGTCCACCACTATTTGTAAATGGGCCAACCCTTATCATTTGAAGAAACTATGCTTTCTAGTTTTTATATTGCATAAATGTATAGTTTCCTCAAATGAATGAGGTGGCTGAAGATTAATTTATGGGGGCCACAACCCCCATTGGCCACCCCTGACTCCTCCATTGCACTTGGTGCTGGGATTTAATCGCTCCCTCCACTCTCCAGGATACATCACTCTGTGCTGCCTCGGACAAAAAGCAAAACAAAACACAGTGTAACTGTTCCCCACTTTAATAACTTGCACCAAAAACATTTAGGTTTACTTCATATTCAATTTGAGTCCAGAAAAACACAACTTCAAAAACTACAAGCACTCACTGTTCAAATCCCTCGGCGACGGGGGACATCGATGTGCTGCTTGTTACATCAGCCTGTTTGACTTTGTTTGTAACTATAAAAACTTGTCATTAATAATATTCCAACCAGTGTTCCCAGTATCAAACAGCTCTGGTGCAGATGAACGCAGATATGACAGAAAAGTATTTCCTGCTTTGCTGAAACTTGTCATTTTAGAAACGAGCCGACTTGCTCCACCTCAGCTTCCTGTTTGCAGGTAAAAAAAAAAGCTACTTAACCAGAGTGAAAGTAATTTGCTGGTTGTGAGGTGTCACAGCTGTCACCTGGGTGCCCTCAGCAGTCAGGCGGTGTTGACGCGGCATTCTGGGCTTTTGAATGTTGCTTTCAGCTCTTTAATCTGGAGAGCAGAGCGCTGTGAGTGACAGGCAGGCGGAGAGGAGCCAGCTGTGACGGCTGCTGTCGCCTCTCTGCCTGCCTTATGATGAATTACCTCTCCTGAACGATCGCGCTGCTCCTGAGTGATGTCGGCACTGGATTGTTGTGCCGGCGTCTCACCAGCAAACGCAGAATAAATAAATAAATAAACAAGCTGCTGTGTCTCCCCATCTTTTTATTTTTCATTAATGTTGCCTCCTCCCCTACATTTCCGTCTGCAGCCAGATGAGGCAGAAGCTCGGAGGAAATAACCACAGATACGTTCCAAGTTGAAAACGGCTGAAAGCTCCCACTGTTGGTTTTTACTTCCAGCTGAATGTAAACTTCCATGACTGCAGCTACACATACTAAATATGATAATGAATACTGCTTTGACCCAGATGGAAGTGAAAAGTTACACATTTATTAGCCCATAATTGCTGCATATTTGTTGCACATTATCTCCTGATTCTGACTTTAACTTTCCATCTGCTTCCAGCTCAGACGACTACTACGAATACGAAGAGAGCGGCGAATCGTATGATTCATATGGTGAGTTCTTTTATTCCACCACTGCTTTTACTGTCGGAACAAAATTATGCTGTGAAAACGTGTTCAGCTCTTGTTTTTACTTTCTATTGTTACATTTATTTGTTTCAGCTCATCAAACAAATGTTAGACAATGACGTCCTAAAATGCAGTTTTTAGATTATTTCATTTTAGAGGATTTGCTTTTCAAACCAGTAACCGAGTGTCCTGATGCAGGTACATGAATCTAACGAGGTTAAGTCAGGTCATGTGGACAGGTTCTTCTGTTCAGAGGAGAATAATCTGTCCACTTTGTTATAAAAACTGAATAATTCCTCCCAGATCTAAGAACTGGTTGTGTCGCCCTTGTCAACAACAACAACAACAACAACAACAAAGTGTTTGTGAAAACTGCAGTCAGTTTTTCTCATGACTGTTGAGGAACGTTGTTGCTGTTCTTCACATAACTGTCCTGCTGCAGAAGGTAAGCCTAAAATCAGAACTGGTGGCCAGACGTTCTCCTTCAGGCTTTTCTAGAAAGCTGAATTCATGGTTCCATCAGGTCCAGAAGCAGCAAAGCAGCCCAGACCACCACACTACTACCACCGTGTTTGACTCTTGGTGTGATGCTAGTCTTACAGCAGGTTTAACAGGACACACCTTCCAGAAACTTCCACCTTTGTGTTCAGTCCTAAAGTCTTGGATCATCAGTTGTTGGTCAGTATGAGACGGGCCTTTCTGTTCTTTTTGCTCTGTGCTGGTTTTGACCTTTGAACTCTTCCATGACGCCTGCTTTGGCTCTTCGTCTCCTTCTTTTGTTGAATCATGAACTCTGACTTTAACTGAGGCGGATGAGGCCTGCAGCGCTCCACATGTAGTTCTGGGTTCTTTTGGGACCTCCTTGACGAGTCGTGGAGGAGCTCTTGGAGTAATTTTGGTCTTGAGAAGGTTCACTACAGTCCCATGTTTGTCTCCGGTTGTACATGACGGCTCTGTTTGATGGATTTCTTGTCCCTACAGGTCTGGCAGTAATCAGAGTACTGAATCTCAACTCAGGCTGATTTAACTAATTATTTTTTATTTAAAACCAGGTTAGTTTGGATAGATTTTCCAACCTTAATGAATAAAATCATTATTTAAAACTTGCATTTTATCTTTACTCTGGTTAGCTTTGACTGATATCAATAATTTCTACAATGATTTGAAACATTTAGGTGTCATAAAAAATAATTAAAATACACTTAAATCCACTATGCTATGTTTTTAATTTTCTAGACTCCATTCAGCTTTCCATCAGTTGCCATGGTGACTGACTAACACTGTTTGAGGTTACGTGAATAAAATAATTTGTTACAAATTAGAACCTCTTCAGCTCATTTGGATAATTAAGTGGAAGCAGCGCAGCTCAAAATTAAAATCCATTTCTACAAGTACATCCTCATCTTAACTAACAAGCACAAACTAAATGCTGACACCAGATGGGAATTTTCCTTTTTTTAATTAGAATTATTTGAAAAAAAGTTTTTCTGTAATTCCTCTGTATGAATGCAGAAACGTTTCATGCTGCAGCTGTAATTTTCCCATTTCTGAAGGAACACGTCAATATTTGAACTGAGTCAGAATTATTTTTACGTTTTCTCTGAAACTTCAGAACATGAAGCAGCAGTTTATATAGATGTAATTATCTGTTGTCTACCATCAGATGTTCACAACAACATATTCAAACTTCTTACTAGAGACAATAAACTAAATATTACTCCTGCAGCAAACATCTACAGTATAAGACTGCAGCTGCGCAGACTCGCTGTAGGCAGCAGGGGAATAAAAACATCCTACAAGACGAACCGTCACAGGATTTCCTTTGTGAAGCATCAAGTTACAGTCAGCAGGACTTCATTAAAGTTTTTTTACCAAAGATGTCCTCGTTTCTTCAGCTGTTTGTGTTGAAGTGTTTTAAACAGGTCAGGCACTAGGACCACAAGGAACATCACTCAGTGCAAGGTTCCCTGCTCTCCTGTAGCCTCTGTAGCTACATGCTGAGAAGAAGAGTCCCTGCTGCACATTTATTTAAAACAGTTCTATTTTGTATAGGAGTAACTGGAGACCCCATAGCATGGATTTAGGATTTGATGACGTTCATAAACCAGCAGTGAGTCGATGTTGTAGGTGAAAAATGACAAAAACAGAAAAAACACCATCACTGCAGGCAGAGGTGGAGGGCAGACCATGCACAGCGGCACCATCTTCCCGGAAGTGGAAAAGTGATGACTCCTAACTTGTGCTCCAAAGGGTGATAAGAGTCAAACTGCAAATACTGGTCTGTGTGGGTGGGTTTGTGGTACACCTCAGTTTGCAAATGTCCTCTATCAGAGACTGAGACCTCACAGTCCAAGAAAGCCAACTTGCCATTTTTTACATCTTCTCGTGTGAACTTGATGTATTTATCCACAGAGTTGATGTGGTCAGTAAAATGTTGGACTTCCTGAGATTTAATTTTAACCCAGGTGCCATCAACATACCTGAACCAATGACTTGGTGGTGTCCCTGAAAAGGACAGCAAGGCTCTCTTTTCTACCTCCTCCATGTACAGGTTGGCAACAATAGGAGAAACTGGAGACCCCATAGCACACCCATGTTTCTGCCTATAATATTGCTCCCCATATGTGAAGTAGGTTGACTGCAGGCACAGTTTCAAGAGTTGACACAGTTGTTCTGTGGAAAGTGTGGTCCTGCTGCTCAGAGTGGTGTCTGATTTTAATCTTAAACTGACCACCTCTACTGCATCATCAACAGTTTCTCCTATTGTTGCCAACCTGTACACGGAGGAGGTAGAAAAGAGAGCCTTGACATACTTTTCAGGGACACCACCAGGTCATTGGTTCAGGTATGATGACGACACCTGGGTTAAAATTAAATCTCAAGAAGTCCAACATTTTACTGACCACATCAACTCTGTGGATAAATACATCACGTTCACACGAGAAGATGTAAAAAATTGCAGGTTGGCTTTCTTGGACTGTGAGGTCTCAGTCTCTGATAGAGGACATTTGCAAACCGAGGTGTACCGCAAACCCACCCACAAAGACCAGTATTTGCAGTTTGACGTCCATCACCCTTTGGAGCACAAGTTAGGAGTCATCAGGACTCTGTACCACAGAGCAGACAGCATCCCCACTAACTCAGGAGCCAGGCAGAAGGAGAAATCCTACACAAGACAGGCTCTAGAGCAATGTGGATATCCTAACTGGGCCTTCCTGAAAGCAGAGAAGAAACCCAAACAGGACTCCAGTCAGCCATCAGGTGAAAATGGAGGAACTCAGACCCAGACCAGTGGTCATTCGATATGTTGAGGGTGTATCAGAGAAACTGAGGCATTTATTTTCTTAACACAACATCCCAGTGGCTTTTAAACCCCAAAATACATCACGGCAAAGACTGGTTCATCCCCAAAAAATCCAGTCCCCCGGCACAAACAGAGTAATATTGTGTATGTTGTTCAGTGTCAGGAGGGCTGTGATCAGTCTTACATCGGGGAAACTAAACAGCCACTGGCCAAAAGGATGGCCCAGCACAGAAGATCAACATCATCAGGCCAGGACTCTGCGGTCTACACTCATCTCCAGGCCAGCGGTCACTCTTTCAGGGATGAAGATGTTCACATCCTGGACAGAGAGGAACGATGGTTTGAGAGAGGAGTAAAGGAGGCCATCTTTGTGAAAAGAAATCGTCCATCGTTAAACAGGGGTGGAGGCCTACGGGTTCAACTGTCCCCCTCTTACAATGCTGTGATTGCTAGTATCACTCAGCCCTCTGTGAACAGTAAACAGTCATCAGTGTGCTAATGATCCATCGTTAGGCTGATGGTCCTTCTTGACCATGTGATCAGCTGGTTTTGGTTGTCAGCAGCAAACTGGTTGATCCACTCTGAGAAAGTGCTATTTATAAGACTGAGCTGAATACAGCACTTCAGACTGAGGAAGGCTCTTGGATGGAAGACGAAACGTTTCTACATTTTTTTGTTTGTTTGTTTTGCTTTGTTTTGTTTTTTGAATGTCCA